GTTTTAAGAAGCACAAAAGACGTCAAACCCTATATGAAAATTACTAGAAAAATGTAAACTCAAAAGAAACAAAAACAACACGTTTATAAGGATTTTATCACGTTTCTTATTCAACAATTGTGACAATTTTGTTTGAGTTAAGCCTCCGAATCACTGATCAAAAACGTGTACTTGTGAAATTACCTGCTGTCTGAAACTGAATATTTTCAGTTGCAAGCTGAAAATTTTCAGTTGCAAGCTGAATGTTTTCAGCTGTAAACTGAATGTTTGTAGTTGCAAGCTGAATGTTTTCAACTGCAAACTAAATGTTTTCAGTTGCCAGCTCAATGTTTTCAGCTGCAAACTGAATGTTTGTAGTTGCAAGCTGAATGTTTTCAACTGCAAACTAAATGTTTTCAGTTGCCAGCTCAATGTTTTCAGCTGCAAACTGAATGTTTGTAGTTGCAAGCTGAATGTTTTCAACTGCAAACTAAATGTTTTCAGTTGACAGCTCAATGTTTTCAGCTGCAAACTGAATGTTTTCAGTTGTAAGCTGAATGTTTTCAGCTGCATTCTGAAAACATTCAGTTTGCAACTGCAAACATTCAGCTTGCAATTGAAAACCTTCAGTTTGCAGCTGAAAAAATTCTGTTTGCAGCTAAAAACATTGAGCTGTCAACTGAAAACATTTAGTTTGCAACTGCAAACATTCTGCTTGCAACTGCAAACATTCTGCTTGCAACTGCAAACATTCTGCTTGCAACTGCAAACATTCTGCTTGCAACTGCAAACATTCAGCTTGCAACTGAAAACTTTCAGCTTGCAACTGCAAACTTTCTGCTTGCAAATATAAATATTTAGTTTGCAGCTGAAAACGACATGAGTATGTAGGTTTGCTGCCATGTATATGTAAAATATAAATATTTTATAGTCATTATCAAGTAGCTCAACTAGGTGAAACCACATACCAAGTTGTATTAAGATACGTTAAAAAATAACTGAGATATAGAATGTTATTTTTCCCATAAGGATAACATGGGGGACAGAGTGTTCTGTGATTACTACTTTCAATATCTCGGTAACCAATATACATAGAGTGATGATTCGAAATACTAAATTGTTCATCTTTTAATGCTGGATTCAACGGTGGAAAGTAAATTTTGATCATTTTAATTTTTCCGAATTATAAATGCAAAAACCCATTTTATGGGGCGTAAAAAATTAATATTTTCTAAAATACAAAGAAACCGTTGGTTTAACCGCTATAGGTGTAATAACCTTTTTTGTAGATAATGATTAGACCTTTCAAATAAGATGTCATACGTCAAAATCGGTTACGTGGTTCCTGAGATATGCGACATTATTATTATTGGCTGATCGGCCATTTTGATGACGTCACTGCCCGTGACCTAATTATTTTAAAGCTTGCCTCCCGGCTGATTTTCACTCTTTTACATGTATTTAGTCGATTCCCAAAGTATGGTGCTGGTCTCCGGAAGTGAAAGATTACTAGGTAATATGTTGCTTGTTCCACGCACTATTTGGTTAATCACTCTTTATGGTATGGATCTACAATCGACATGTTTGCAATATTGTCAATTAATTAGGAGTGGCATCAATCTAATAATTATCAGTTGAGAGCGAAAGGTTTGTAGTGTTTTTACGGTTCGAAACTGGACCCAGCTGTTCTTGATCATTGGACTTTAAAATGGTCCAAACTAATAAAACAGCTGATCTTTAGTCAGTAACAAAGCTACAAAGGCAGGCATCACAGTCAATCCTACACTCATCCTTCACTCATATTTGGGTTCAAATAATCACATAGGTGTCGTCACCATTTAGACAATTATTGATAATATAAATGATAACTGGACCAGATTATTAGCCCTTTATAACTTTATCAGTTTAGCCCACCTGAGAAAGCAAACAATAAAGAAATAGCTGTAAACACTACAATACGTAATGTAAACATTGTAATTTTCCTACTGCTACCATGAAGACCGGCTTGTAAAAATAACATTAGATTTATCACGGTAACGTAACTTTGAAACGCCTAGGGTAACGGATTAAAAGGTTGGAAATCTTCCCAAAATATGACAAGATTATTTTGCAAGCAATGACAGCATTATTAAAATGCAAGGCAAACGCAAAAGCCCCTTTATGAACTTATGAACAAATGCCATGCTTTGGATATTTTCTGGATTCATTTGTGTATTTAAATAGGCCTACTTTATTGACCCAAAAGTCATTCGTTAGTCAAGTGTGATAACGGGTAAATATTTGTAGAGAAATTTCTGAAAGAAGCATTTTTTGTAAAGAATACTTCATTAACGGTATCTAAAGTTATCTGTATTTCCAACTGAGCAGTATGCGATAACTCAAGGAATTTAAAAAGTAAGATTCCAGTGAACATTTTTTTAATGATATTGATATTGAGTTGGTGAATGATAATCCTGTGATGTACGTTATCGCTAATTGATAAGCCTAGTCCTCATATTGTTACGGTTTTGTTCTTATATCTCTCCTTCATAAAAAATCTATGTAACAATTTGTTCGTTGAAAGTTTTAGTAATCCATACTGTATGAGAACAATTTACTTGGTCCTTGCGTACAGATACATTGTGTTATATAAACAATTTTATGTTCTAGTGCAGAAAAAACTTGAACAACATTTACTAAAATATTCAAGGCTACTGTATTTACTGTAAATGTAAACAAGTTGACATGGCTAAATATTCACATTCACAAACAATTAATTGTCAAATAACACAGCATTAACCGTCGACCGTTTAATTTTCTAATTGCTAAGTTTTTTAGCATGTAATTTCGGTGATACTAGACAAGTTTGAAGCAAACTATACAGTATGAACTATACAACCAACTACAAACTATACAGTACCATTGACTAAGTTCGTTAAGTAGATAATCTACATGAACTAGCTGCAGCCAACTTATTTGATTTAACTGTATTTTGTCTATTCAAACATTGTCATATTTCATGTTTTTTAAACAGCCTAAATTTCAGACGGTTATATGACTTTGACCTTTGTAGTTAGGTATCATTAATTGATGACCCAAAGATTTAATCTTGTTCTGGAATCGAACCAGCATCCCTCGTGTTTGAAAGCGAGCATTAACCACTCAGCTACCCGTACAATTAATTAGGATCTGAAACTATATACTATCCTAAAATGAACATAATTCAGCAATATATAAACGTGTTCTTATCAACTTCTACAATACATTTTCGAAACATTATCCTTCGCTAGAAAAATATCTTCTTTTTGTTTATAACTAAACAACAGATATCCATTTCATAATTCTCCCGACCTTTCAATTCCGAACACTCAACGTCATTCTTCCAACAGAATTTTCAATACAATGCCGTCAAGCTTTTAAATCACCTTCCTCTTTCTCTAGAGACCGAAGATACTGTATCAGAAAATCCTAAAGAATTTTTACCGGATAACGACTTCTGCAGCGTTTGTGAATTTCTTTTCCCCAGAACTGCTAGTATAAATACAGTAGCTTATTTGATAGTTCAGATACGAGATGTTTTGGTTCATGTAAATATTTAATTATGTTTTGGACGTAACTATGCATTTTTCCTATTTGGCTGATTAAAGGACTTATGACTTAAAAACGTACCCGCAAATTTCGTAAAGAGCAAAGAGCGCATCTAAACTATTCGACTTTTAGTTTTTACCAATAATTTCCTAACATAACTGCAAATAGAAAGTAACATTAAGGAAATCCCTTAAGTAAATCTATTAATTAAGCTAATGCGAACCTAAACAAGCAGACCCATTGTTGGGAAGGTCAAAATACAAAAACTGAAAATTAACAAAAACATGACGGTGCGAATTGAAAATCGCGTCGCCTGAAAATAAATGGTTTTCGCTAAAACAACAGAAGGCAGGCGACAAGGTACTACAATTAGTCAAGTATCAGCGGCGCCGACGTAGGCGCCATAGTGGACTGTTGAAAGCAAATTTCACACATCCCAGAATCCCTCAAACACTTTAAACAGTAGACTGTCTCGGCACTGGCACCATAAATATAATGGGTTTGAGTGCAACAATTAACACCACGGCACCAACACCATTTAGGCAGATCCAAAAGTGCAGCCGTCGCCAACAAGATGGCAGATTGTCAATGTTAGTTTCACAACTGCAATACGTAACTGAAATTTGAGGAGAATGAAAGTTTTTCAATACTGTGCAGTTTGGGAATTCCAATTCACCATGTAAATCCCTCTCATATTAAAAAAAAATATTTGTATCCATCTATATGTATTCTACTCGTTGTATCATTGACTAAGGGTTTTTCTGTGTAACATTCCTTTTCCGCACGTCCTGCACGTCCTACTGAGCCGACCTTTTCGATTTAAGTGTCATTTTAAAGCGTATGATCTAGTGGAGAGACGAATTTTCAGTCAGATAGTAAACATTAGATGAAACAGTTTATGGTATAGCACAATTTGAGCACGGGTACCTATGTTGTAAAATCTGCATCCTACTTTAACGTGAATTTTTATCCAAAAGGGTGCTGACGTAGACTAAATTTTATTTTTTTAGAGTAAATCTTATGTAATCTTATACATGTAATTTTTTAGCTATTCATGGCATTAAATATGTAATATCCTGTAAAGTTATATGGATTTGATCAATAAACACGATACATACTATATATATAGTATATTATATACATCTTGTCATTTACAAGCGAAAGAAGTTAAGAAACAAATAACGAAATCTTATAACTATAGCATTACGGTTTTATTATCGCAAGATTAGGTTCTGGGGAGAAACCTAGTATAGTAATAGAGCGCGGATCGAAAAAGGGTTTAGACTAAACATTTGGTATTTCGATTCCAGAGGTCCCGGGTTCAAATCCAACTAATCACCAATGTATTTGAGTGGTAATGCCGCAACCTGTGGTAATGTGAAAAACATAGCTAGAGACTAGTTAAAAAACAGTTCGCACAGATAAAAATGGAAAGCATATTCTCCAGGGCCTACCTTCCAGTTTTGGTGATGATCATTTCCGTGCCGTGCTGGTGGAACTGTCTCCAGAGGTCTGCCTTGTGTAGGGTCATGGTGACCGACTCCAGGGCGGGGTGAGACGAAGTCGGAGTGATTTCCTCACTGGCCATCCTGATACCACCAACTGTAACAAGGGTGTGAAATTAGAAAATACTCCCGCCGCAGACTGAGCGAATTTCAATTTGCCTGATTTTCAATGACTGGATGGTGGCGTGCTACTAGGAGGTCACGAATTGTTAATATTTATGATATAAGCATGCACTGTGGATGCGATGCTCCCTGGTGTGGATTAACGTCCAAGAAACTAGTGAGTACTACGACTGTCCACAGTACTATCCTGAAAATTAGACCAATTCGTTAATTACAAGGGAAAATGTGGTTCGGATTCCACTCTTAGTTGTCATTGACTGCATGGGCTATTAATTAACAGCTGTGTCTAAGGAACATGTCGGTCTTAGTCACTAATATCACGCCACTCATCCTACACTCATCTTTCACTCATATTTGGGTTAAAATACGCACATAGTGGTGTCTCCATACCTTATATAATTGATTGATATAATGAAATCCATTACAATAACATTACGTTTAACGAGTACCCAGGTTTGCGAAACAACAACACACAACTACCGTTGAACAGCAACTGCCAGTTTGAGTGTAACTTATTTTGTAATATAATAATATTATAGGATAGGTTTCCCATATTATGGGTTTCCCATATCATGGGAACTGGAAATAAAAAAAGATTGTGTAACTTATACAAATAATGAAACTCTAGTAATAAAGGTATAATATTATTACGTTCTTTGCAAGATCAAATAATGTGATCGTTGGTTCTTTGTCACTGGAACATAGTTTTTGAAGACATTTCAATACTTCAATTCAACTCTAGTTTTGACTTGTGTTTAAGCGTTATTTCCAACGTTTCCAACTAACGCAATAATGTGAGATATTTTACCCCCTTCATTCACATATCACAAATTACGTGTCCAAACAGGAAACATGACACAGCCGCGTTGGTTAAAGTTCCTTGGTTTAGATATCTTATCGCACCTACTTTTATTATCGTATAAGTTATGTTGGAAACAGTGCGCGTTTCATTTGATAAACCTGGTATTTCCCCAGCCTAGCTGTGCATTGTTGAATTCTACAATGATATTTTAATTCGTCTGTGGAATTCGCTTCCAGGAATACTGGTTGATAAAAAAAGTGTTCAACTAAAAATATTTTGTATAATTGAGTCTTTTATTCTTAACCTCTCTTTCTAATTCAAATTATTTGATTAAGAATTTAAAATCCCCCAAAATAGTTAAAGTTACTGTAAAATTAATTAAGCGTAACGACAACCCATATCAACGTTTGAATGTTGATTAGTAAATACTGAAGTGATAAAATAATAAATTTTGAATTGTAGCTGCAAATCTAGTACACCTGCTTTATTAAAATTCAAATGAAACCTACATTGAATAAAATGGGTATTGATGTAGAAAATATCATACCGAGGTATTGAAAAGTCGTAAAAATGAAATTGTGCATATTAGAGACATTTGTTTTAGGTACTTAAAAAACACCCTTTTGTAAATAATTATGTGGGCAAAGTAAAAGAAAAATTACAAACTTTTTACGATCAATAATTTAAATTTTCAAATTTGTTCGGTCATACAGAATTTGCAACACCATCGTTTGAAAAATTAAGAATCTACATACTCAGCGGAAAAATGTATCTAAATGTAAATTGGTTTAGCATAACAGTTAAGTCTTAAAACTGTCTAAAATATGTGTAATAGAATATATTGTATTATATTACATCGCAAAACTAATTTTTCCAACGTGATGGACTCTTGGAGTAATTCATAAGATTTCCACAACCTAAACAACAATTGAACACGTTAAATCTGAATTAAATCTAATAAAACTGGTATAAAAACTAGCATACATGGCCTACCTCCTCAAGACGTGCAAAAGAACGAGACGGACAAACGACCAAGTACTGACTGATTGGTGATTGGTGTAGTTGAGGAAAAAAGTGATAAGAACATGGACCGTCCGCGCGATCATCGGTGCACTGGAACTGATAAGAATCTTATCAGCTGCGTGGTATAGCGTGCTATCTCTAGGCAACTTGTTGAAGTCTCTTTGACTTGTGAAGTCATGAATAATGGAGTTTGATGGCTTTGTTTTCACACAGCTGAATTACAATGTGAAGGAACTTTGTTATGTGATGAAATATGTATGTTGAATGAAACCATGAAACCAATTTGTCATGTATGTAGTTCGATTAGATCATTTTTCAAGAAGAAAGTGGTAGGAAATTTGGTAGCAAGATAAATCTAATATCTAAATCTTGTGATATAATAAATAAATTCATTATATGCCCATATTGTGTAACATAATTTCTACAAAAGATTTATCGAAGTCAGACACTATCACAGTTTTTACATCTATTACGGATAATAAACAAAATCAGTATTCTCATCAAACACGTTTAAACAATAATTTAATACCAACGAAATTTGAAATTAAATAACTAACAACGAAATGTAGCTACAGAGTGCAAATCATTGTAACACGAAGAAGATAATGATAACACTAGGTAGCAGTACAACCATACCATGATTTACTGTAAATGTAAGATATGAATGAATAAAAGAACGATCATTATTCCGAACTGCAAAACCTTTCTTTACAGTTTGACAGGTACAGTACGAACAGAAGTAACAAATACCCCCGCTGCAGCAAACCTGCAGACAAAGCGAATTTCCATTTGCCTGAATTGATGTACAATTTAAATGTATTTAAATAACTTTAGGTTAAACGAGTACCTACGTTTGCTGCTACAAGGAGGCTCTAATAAAGTGTGTGTTTTTAGTATAACTAGTGTACATGTTGCTCGAAACCGAGCAATCGCAAAGAAGTAAAGGAGTTATTTAAAAACAAATATCTTATTTAAGAACAAAATATGTAAGTCATGAATTCCGATGAGTTTAAAAGAGTCAACTCAAACATTACGTAACTTATGATAATACTCACAATGTACTTAACAGTTAAATATAATCAAAATTTCTTGTAAATATTTTATAATTTTTCAAAAGCCGATCTGGCTTTAAGTGTATTGTAGAAATGTTTCCCACTTATAGCCGCAATAGGTTGTCCATGCTTTGTCAATGATAATGTAGTCTGCATGGTATCACCCATTGTCGCCAGTGCGTTTACAAATTTCAGTTTTAATTTGAATAGCACCAAATATAATAACCACTAGCTGTACCTGCGGGCTTTGCCCCGTTTAACTTCATAAGTATTCGCATGGCTCAATCACGTCCTGGTTGAAGTTTGTTCGCTACGCTCACTCACCTTTAGGTTGGAGCTCGTTCGCTACGCTAACTCACCTTTTGGTTGCAAATTAGGTGTTGTCATAAATAAAAAATAAAAAAATAATAATGCTGCGCCCTGTTGGTAATCCTTGTAACTTTAATGCTATTTAAAATCATAGAACAGAACCAACATGTTTAATTGAAACAGCTGTTAAGATTCTTTAATTCCTTTTAAATGTGAAAATTCATAAGGTTAACATGGGAAACTCCAGAGCCACTGGGGCGGATCCCGAAAGCCCGATCAGAATAAAAACTACTTAGTTTTCTTATTTAATGCCCAAATAATCGGTGTACCGAATTTCAGCTTCCTAGGTTAAATGGGAAGTGGGAGAATTAGTGATGAGTGAGTGAGTGAGTCAGTCAGTGAGTCAGTGAGGGCTTTGCCTTTTATATATTTAGATTAACAACCTGATTTTCTGCATAACCTCTCTGTCACAATTTTACAATTAACATATGTTCTTCTTCTCACTTTTAATTTCTGACAACAGCTGGAGTTTCATAACAATTAACAATGTTTGTTTCCCATGTTAATCTTATGGAGGAATACGAATCTTAAAAGGGCCCCAGGGTCTCACTCTCTAATTATTTTCCCTTAAAAGAATGTTTCCTGCACAACTTCACGTTACGTTCTTTCCAATGACACCAAAAACATGTCAATTGGTTCAGTAGTTTCGGAGGAGTAATTGTCACAAAAATCCTGCTTGCGTATTAAATAAGTACTAGTGCCCCTGTTGCTCGGAATCGAGCAATTGCTAAGTATTACAGGCATTATTTTAAAACAAATAACAGTCATAATTTTTAATGACTTTAAAAGATTTGACTCAAGATTGTGGAATACTCATGATGTACATGACAGATCGATATAATCAACATTTCTTGTAAATAGGCCTATCTGATTATTTTTAAAAGCTGATCTTCTACACATAGCCGCATTAATAGCCAAATTAGATTGTCCATAATAACGATTATAAATATACATATATATATATATATATAAACACATTATTTCTATTTCTTCTCCTTGGTGGTGTTCTATGACTTTCCTATGTTTCTATAGTTTGCAAATCGGCTCGTTCAATGATTACTAAGAAATGCAGAACAGTGTTAATTCAGTTTTGGTTTTAGTATATCAATTTATCCAGGCTCTCGTTTTTTCCATTGCAATATTTACGTCAACCCATATTCAAATAGTAAATATTTCATTTCAACCAAGTAAGTAAATGTTTGTAGCAAAATAACTGTTAAATTAGCAAACTTATTGACTGTTTACAATTAACATTTTTATGTCCTTCTCACTTTTAATTTCTGACAACAGCTGGAGTTTCATAACAATATTTGTTTCCCATGTTAATCTTATGGAGAAATACGAAACTTTAAAGGGCCCCAGGGCCTCGTCCTCTAATTATTTCCCTAAAAAGAAAGTTTCATGCACAAAATAAATAAATTTGCCAAAATTTATCAAAATATATCTATAAATGAGCAAACTAGAAACATTCACACTGCATTTTACAATATTCTCTATAAGAATAACATGGGAATTTAAAATTTACAATTTTTTTACTCTCCGTAACCAATAACTGCACAAAAAACACTTCAATATACTAAATTATTTGTCTTTTTAAGCTTTTTGGAATTTTCTAGAGAATTGGGAAATGTTTGTGTTTTGATGGTCAAAAACGAGAAAGGCGAGGAGTTATATAAGTGTTTTAGTACATATCACAAACAAACATACTCTTGACGAAACGAGATAGGATATTATGTTTATACTTTTCAGTAAATTCCGTCACAGGGTATGTAATCACAAAATAAATTATTTCCCCGTCTTTTTTGAACACCCTGTATACCACGTTACTGAACGGTGTTGTATTTTATAGCCAAAAGTATCCATACCCATTGTTGAGATAATGAAAGATGTTCTGCTCGTCCACACATGTTCAAAGAGATAAAAGATATATTTTCAGAACAACGGATGTAACCAGGCGATTGGCTTCTTTCTCACGGTCGAATCAAAGAGATAAGCCATGTTTTGCACGTAATTATCCCACAACATTTCAAAACAAATTCCGTTCCTATTTTTAATCGGCTTTATACTTTTTATAGACAATTCAAAAGTAGATATTTAGGAAACAATTGAAATATGGCGGAATTAATTGTTCATAGTGCAATATGCTATTCTTTATGCAAAAATAAATTGCATCAGTAAAGAAGCTTCAAAATTCCAGAAGAATCTTAATTTGTACAAAGGAGCAATGCTAAATATACAAACAAATCCATCTATATGTCAAATATCAATTAAAACACCCCATAGATTTGTCGCAAGCTATATGAAAACCGTAGGTAAATGTTAGGCTAGAGACAAATGTAAAACAAAATATTAGCACCTTCGAAACTTAAAGCTTTGTACTGGTAGTACCAAAGACTAGGTAATAACATAATGTAAAACGACAAAAATATATGTCTTCTCAGTGAAGGGAAAAACTAATTTATACACACTAGATTCCTTTGAATATTAACATGTTGAATGGATCTATGACAAGTTTGTTCAAAAGCCTAAAAGTTAGTGAAATGTAAATATTGTATTGATTAATTGATAAAATTCAATAAATCAGCTAATTAGGTACCTAAGCCATAGCCATAAATAATTAATTACTTTATATTTCACTAAGATGCGTCGACACTTGGTGAACGTTCGCGACGAACATGTAGGTTTTGTACGCCGAACTACGTAAAAACGTTCGCAGAATGTTTGCTGAACATTGTTTACGCTGTTCGACGGACAAAATATGGTGTTCGCTGTAAACTAAGTTTTTAGGTTTTCGAGTGAAGATGGATTTGCGTAGGCGTCGGCTTTTACTTGCTTCTTGTTTCTGCTGCATATTACATCGTATCAATGAATCAATGACGTCATCGGTGATGACAGAGACAGTATGAAGACGATATTGATATGAATATATAGAGAGCAGCACTTCAGATCGGACTTGGTAGCTAGTTGCCAATTATCATTATCCAACTTCACTTGAATATCGTGGAACTCTGATTTTGAATTTATCGTAAGATTATAATAGGTAGGGCCTACTGAATTAAAAAAATATACGTTTTGTCGTGAACCAATTGCCGTAGTATGAAAGATAGATTAGCAGTTACCTTGAGTTCTTTTGGCTTACTTTGAATTACCTTGAGTGGAGATAACTATCATCTCTAATGTATTTGTTTAAAATATCCAGGCAAATTATATAAAATTTGTTATGCGAACTTTGTTCGTCAAGTGTGGAAGTACCTTTATAGCTTTAAAACTTGGTTATAGTGAACATGAGTTCACGGGACAAACAATACAATATGAGTAAACAGCTAAACATGACGATTCCTTGATTATTGTTGTTCACGACGTTGACGTAGAAATTGCACCATCATCAATGACAGCTTAACTTAGCAAATTTTATTAAAAGAGTCTAAACTTACTTTAAAACGGTGTATACAGCCAATCCTTCTCTATGTCGAACGAAAACGAACAGTCGAACACAGGGCTCCCGACAGAGGACTTGCCGGACGAAACGAAACTAACTAGACTACTAAATCCAAATTGAATGTTGATTGTTGACATGTGACGGCTAGCGCTAAGCTAAAGTGGCGCCTATAGGACGTTAGGGGCGGAGCTAAAGCGGTGTGCGCATGAGCGAACGGACGCTTCTGATTGGCCTACGCGGTGAAAGAGGAAGAAAAAGAAACTCATCGCTGGGGGCTCGGGCTGACAATTCAACAATCAACAGGTGAATCTGATTCTGGGTGATTCCCGTCCCGGCTTGAACTGCTTGATACACGATATACATAAAAATATATATGTAGTGATATAAAGATAGAGATATACTAGCAGTTACACGGCGCGCGTTTCTGCGCTTAACAACTATTATATTAAATGGCAATTTGTTCTTAACGATGAGTAATAAAAGTGTATACAAAAAATAAAAATAGAATATTTTACTGTTTTTTCACTAGGTGTATAAATATATTAATTTTTAAGCGTACCTTCCACCACGTGAGCCCGCAACATACAGCTGTCCACGAAAAGCATGCATTTTCTAAATTTATAAACCGACGATAGTAAGGTATTGCCCTAGTGCCTTATAATGGTGATTGTGAAAGAAAGACACAAAGGAAATTGTGATTCGGATGAAATCATAAATTTTTTTGGACTATTTCTTTTAGCGAATTTCCCATAAAGGGAATAAGCTATTACCGTAGTAGCCTACTCATGGTCTTTTTCGTTTTGAGGTCCCTAGAGACCAAAAACACCATCAGTTTAGATTCATATATATATATATTTATATATGTGTCCGTTAGCGCGATAACTCGAGCAAAAATCATCCGAGTTTGATGAAATTTGGTACAAACGTGTAAACCTACGTTTATTCGAACGAGTTCGCGAACCAGCATGATCGGACTATGTGAACAGGGGTTTATCGGGGTTTTATGGGGCAAAAATTGGTTTTTCCCATTTTTGACCCTAAAAACTTGAAATTTAGCATTTTCTTTCCAAACCATTTTGTAGAGCTTAAAAAAACAAATAAGTTAGTAGGCCTATATTGAAGCGTTGTTATGCACCTAATGGTTACGGAGAAAATTCCAAAAATCTGTAAATTTAAAATTCCCATTTTATTCTTATGGAGAATAAGTAAACTGTTGTAGTTTGCTTGTTTATGATCATATTTTGATCATATTTGGAAAATGCATTCATTTCATACTAAACGACTGACAATTTACAAAAAAACACCTTTTTACCCTCCCTGTTGTAGCAAACCTAAGTACTCGTTAAACTAATGTTATTAAATAGGGAATATATGTGATATTTTAAAGGATACATTTTAGTGTAAATCCAATCAGGCAAATGGAAATTCGCTTAGTCTGCAGGTTTGCTGCTGCGGGGGTATTTTTTTAACTTACCAATGATGTTTCCAACTTACTTGCAGTATCCAATGTCAATGATATATTTGGTTCGCATATATGGAATGCATATTTTCAGTATCCAAAGACAATGGTTCGCCTGGTTCAATGGAATGTCTATTTACAGGTTCTAAAGTCAATGGTACGTCTGGTTCACGTAAAAAGATAGTTTACATGCAGGGTCCAAACTTGGTACATTTGGTGGTTCAAAAAATGAATTAATTGTCTTTCTACTTGCAGTATCCTTGCTGTATCCAAAGTCAATATAAGGCTTACTTATTCTGATTCACTTAAACGGGATGGCTATTCGCAGTGTACCACATACGTCGGGTCATGTAAACAAACTGTTAAATTATTTTTATTTGGCTCATTTGATTCTCATAAAAGGAGTGCCTATTTGCAATACCGTTGCAAATAGGCAACGGTTCAATAAATTGAAAATCTTTTAGTATCCAAACGCAATGGTAGGCCTATATTTAGTTCACATAAATGGAATGGCTATTTGGGGTATTCAAAGTCAATGGTCAGCCAAATTCCGGCGACCCTTATTATCTGTTATCATTTTGTAGTAAATTATGCTCAATGATATTAATCCGATTGTTCTTTCCTTTTCCTCTGTACGGTTTGTAATGTGCTATAACATGATTCGTTGACTAATATATGTTGCGACTCTTGTTAACCTTTATATTGTTATCTCGCAAATAATGTCATGGCAACCAATAAACCCATAAGGCCCATTATCTAAAATTAAAAGCTCTGTGGTCCGATTTGTACCATTTCAGATAGGCTGTGCTAAATTTCGTGCATATCGCTTCAGCCGATTAGGAGGAGTATTATTGTAAAACGAAAGCAGGAGTAGGGTCTATAGTATTGACTTTTTATCTACGCTGTAGATATAGGATGTTAATGATAAAAGCTTCGCTCAGTAAAAATGTAATTTTAATACATTTAATCTGTTGTTACGATTATTAAATGTTTATCTTAGTTGTTCTAGTACAACTCTAATTTCAAACAGAATATAAAAGTAGGAGGCAAAAAAAACTTCAAAAGATAGTTCAGATGCTTGATGCTTCGCAATGATTATATTACTTATCGGGCGACAAGCTTTGCTCAAAGAAGATGTTGTAATGTAATTTAAATTTATATTTATATAATTGGATTGTATTTAAAACTAGCTGGCCCGACAGACGTCGTCCTGTCCTAATGTGATTTTATGTTAAATGCTCGTTCATTTTCAAGATGAGCTCGTTCGCATGGCTCAATCACGACCTGGTTAAAGTTCGTTCGCTACGCTCACTCACCTTTAGGTTGGAGCTCGTTCGCTGAGCTCACTTGCCTTCAGGTTAGCTCGTTCGCTACGCTAACTCGCCTCCAGTTTGAAGTTCGTTCGCTACGCTCACTCACCTTTTGGTTGCAAATTAGCTGTTGTCATAAATAAAAAAATAATAGTGCTGCACCCTGTTGGTAAACCTATTAACTTTTTAATGCTATTTAACATCACAGAATCAAATTGTTTAGTTGAACCAGCTGTTAAGATTCTTTAATTCCATTTAAATATGAGTACTCATAAGGTTAACATGGGAAACTCCAGAGCCACTGGGGCGGAGCCCTTTTGACGGATCTGCACCAAACTTCACACAAACCATCCTTGAATAATGCTTAATAATGCCTGAGAGTTTTCGTTACAATTTGTCGAGCGGTTTCGGAGTCCATAAAGGACAAACAAACAAACAAAACAAACAAACTTACATTGGATTTTATATATATCAATATTTCCATCGGCAAGTCATATTACAGTATATTTCCCCAACTAAAGGAAGGTAATTACTTTTAGGTTTTTTTGTCCTAGGACGCTAGGCACGAGCCCGGAATTGTTTTTCACATTACTTCAGGCTTGACCTAGGGGTTACAGCATTATCACTTGGATAAAATCCATTGGTGATTTGGCGGGATTTGAACCCGGGACCCCAGGAACCGGAGTCCCGCGCCACTATAATCATTGTCTATGGTCTATATGTATATAGACCAGCTCGCTCCCCTTACTTAGGCTTGCTGCTACGGAGAAGGAAAAGGGGGTTTTGATAAAATGCTATAATATTATAGGATAAAATAAATAATTATGCCAAATTGTTGAAGGATATATCCATAAACAAGCAAAATAAGTTTATTCATCCTCCATAATATTAACACGATTTTAAAAAAAATACGATTATTATCGGAAAAAATTATCCGATTTTGATGAAATTTGGTATAAACGTGTAAACCTACATTTTATTCTAACGAGTTCGCGATCCATTATGATAGGGCTATGGGAACAAGGGTTTATGGGGTAAAAATGGGGGTTTGTAATTGTTCACCCTGAAAACAAAAAATTTGCAATTTCTTTCCAAACCATATTCTAGAGCTAAAAAAAGCAAATAATTTAGTACAATGAAGCATTTTTGTATGCCTAACGGTTATGGAAAAAATCCCAAAATAGTGTAAATTTAAAATTACCATGTTATTCTTATGAAGAATAAATACACTGTTGTAGCTTGCTTGTCTATAGGCATATTTTAATGAAATTTTGAAATTTCGTTTACTTCAATCAATGTTTTAATAAAAACCCCCTATTTTCTTCTCTGTAGCAGCAAACCTAAGTACTCATTAATATTAATGATATTTAAATAGGAAATAAAAATGACAATTTTAAGGGAATAATTTATTGGAATTCCAGCCAGGTAGATAGAAATTCGCTTTGTAGGTTTGCTGCGGCGGGGGTATTTGTCATTATGGTATGAAATAGTAAGTACTTCTCGTCAAATTCACTATTTTCTGTAGCTTCCAAATTCCCAGCTCACACGATAACTCGCCGTAATTCAACGCGGCATCACAGCACTGTCACTATTCCAGTTGTTGACGATGTCAGATGTGGCAAGTTGACAGTTTGAGAGCGACAAAATCCAAAATCAACGTAACAGGAGCCCACAGGGCCCAGGTGTGAGATTTTAGGCTCGTTGCCACTTCCAAAACACATTGTTCACCTTGTTTTGACTTGTCAGTGTAGATTCTTTGACAAAACAATATTCTTTTGGCTTTTGCTTGTCCACAAGTTTTTGTTAGCGATCGTTATAGCCTATATCAAGAAGATTATTATATAATGTGATTGAAGAATTAATGTATGCATAAGGTATATTTTTTAAGTTGAGCACTCAATGTTATTTAAATGGGTTTCATTACTTCACCGAGTGAGTTTTTGAAACTTTACTTCACTCGTGAAGTAAAGAAGTTGTGTACATCACGCTTGGGATAGGGAAGTTTAACATGGCGGGTTAGATAAAATTTATCTTCCCACTTAAGATTAAAATGTGAAAGTATTAAAAATGTTGACTTTTATTTTAGAAACAGTATTCTTTTCCTTATGTCACCCGACAAAGTGGGCTTCCTTGCTCTGATAGTACAGGAAGCTTCTAATATTGGTTGTTGTAGTCCGTGTACGCTTGGGAATAGATTGGCAACACAGATACTACGACTACGATCAGCTGCAGCGTTTCCCATTTTCTTTAAATGTTAAAAATTTAACCTAACCTAAAAAGTAATGATGTACAGTATTTGAAAGAGTAATTTGTTGTACTTCGTCCACTAGTTACTCAGATAGAGATAACTATTTCCACGAGATT